ATATGCATCATCGTCATTTTTTACATTATACACATACTTGAATATCATATTGATAATAACAAGTCATCATAATCTTTCTCATCAACATCACCTTTCATATCATGCATATATTTAAATATCATGCATATATTTAAATATCATGCACATCAATATAATCAAGTTATCATCATATGCGTATAAACATATCATGCATATATCATGGATAAAATACTTTTGTAATAATCATGTATATATCCCATAAAAATCGCATAATGTACTCACCTTGAATCGTTAACGTTCGATAGTCGTTTTCTCAAAAATCACAACCTACATGATAATTTATACCATTCCTAAGCATCTTAAATAATCGTAATTAAATTGATTACTATTCCTTAAAAATCTTAACACGACTTTTCTTAACATTTTTTTTGATCAACCCCCGATGCCATCATATCTCATGTTTCGCTCAAATATTTTCTTGAAATATTATTAATAATGTGACGTCGTTATATATTAATTGTTGCTCGTACATTTTATAAAAATGTACACTGYACTTCACATTTTCTTGAACAATAARTATTTTACCAAAATAACTAAACTAAATAGTTCGCAACGTAAATAATGTTTTGTGGTCAAAACGYCTCTTTTAAAATTTGCAAGTAAATAATGGTGACAACATGTCACACACATATAAATAACGGTCATTCCATAACTTTAAAGTTCTACATAATTAATACTCAAAATAATGTTTAGAATAYCAATTTTCYAAGTCTAGGGGAATTTCGGTAAATCTTAAGAAGCCGAATWCCAACGGTATAGCTTTAACCAATTCACTAATTTAGAATATTCTTGGGATATTTCATAAGTCAAATATTAAAATTGTGCTTAAAAGTCCAATCCCAAAGCATAGGGGCATTTTGGTAATTTTATTAAGCAATACTCAAAATATTGTTAAAATATCGATTCCCTATTTGTGAGGTCATTTTTGTAATTTCATAAGGGTAATAATCAAAATAAGATATAGATACCAATTCCCAATACATAGGGTCATTTCGGTAATTTACAAGGCAAATACGTAAAGTATCGCTAAAATACGATTTCCATATTGTAGGGTCATTTTGGTAATTTTCTTAAGGATTTTATTCAAAATAGAACTTAGATACCAATCCCAAGACATATGGTCATTTCGGTAATTTTATAAAGCAAATACGTAAAGTATCGCTAAAATACCGATTTCCATTTATAGGGTTATTTTGGTAACCAAATGAGATAAATAATCGAAAATGGGTCAAAGTTTGCATTTTAGAAAACACAAATAAACTTGATGAAAGTTTCATAAAATTTATATAGAGAAATTTATTTCCTAAAACTGCAGGTGTTAAAAGTTAATTTCTAAAACTCAGATGAAATAAGCTTATTAACAATATTAGCATATAAAAAGAAACAAAGCATGGAAGTAGCCTACTAGTTAAGGCGTGAGCTCCTTGCGTGAGGTTGTGGGTTTGAAACCCATCCTCAGCGTTTTCCTCACAAGTTATTTTTAATATAAACAGATTTGGGTCTTGGGTTGGGCTGACCAGCCCGTGACGCGGCTACAGTTCAAACTTCAAAACAGTAAGAAAACTGCAGCCATGGCTGCACGTTTTCAACCTTAAAAAGCTTGAAAACGGTTCGTTTCTTGACCCTTTTTATTCATTCTTTTTGCACCAATCTCTTGGTAATATTTTTACCAACACTTTGGCATAAAGAACACGAAT